TATTATAGTGTATTTATATCGTCTACCCTTATAGTAAAAAAAAAAATTAAAGTCGTAAATGAATATTATACCATTTTTTATGATTGTTTATGTATGTGTGTGTCTACGCGTGTGCTGCAGAGTATCAAACATATTTCGTAATTAAAATAATATAAGAAAGCCGAAATTATATTTTATCGTCTTTGTATCATTTGTATCATTTGTGCCGTTGTTTTTGTTGTTGTTTTCTTCGTCTCCCTTGAAAAATAACAGCAAACATCCATTTGTACACATCTTAAAGAATGTATAAAACAAAGAAAACAAAACAAAAAAGGAGAAAACAAAACACAAAGAAACAAAAACAGAAAAAATGTAATAAACCCCCAAAACGAGCCCAAGAATAATATATAGACAAACAAACATATATATTGAATATTTTATAAATGAAACGATACAAATGTATGTTCATATATGCGTACCATCTCTCTTAAGTAACATACATATTTACATACATACAACATACAAACATATATATATATATATATATATATATATATATGTATACAATCAAATCTAAAGGTACGTCAACATTCACTACCACACAATAATAATAATAATAATAATAACAACACCAACGTCTATACAAGCGCATTTAATATATGACGTTGAATAATACCGAGAAAACCGCACTCACTCTAATAACAGAAAAAGAATTCAGCCAACAAACTCTAACAAAAAAGCAAGAACAAGAAGCATTCTTTAATTTAGTGTGGAGAAATAAAAAATATGAAAATATATATAAAAATAAATATTTAAAAATATATATATATATATATATATATATATATACATAAATATATATGTAATATATTATAAATATATTTATATGTATGTACGTACATAATATATATATATATATATATATATATATGTATATATATATTTATAATCATTGTTATTACTGTGTATATGTACGCATAGTTGTGTGTAGTAGTAACAATTTATAATAATATTCTTTAACGATGTATCAACTAAAAAAAGAGCAGACCCCGAACAGTGGGTTTAAAGTGAAATAATTTTATTTAAAATAAATGTCTCAAACTCTACATAACCGTCGGTATGCCATCCCATTTGTAAAAAGTTGAAACAGGCGAGGATACACTTTTGTAAATACTTTCAGTCTTACATCGTAATATCTTCCATATTATCGGTTTCGAAATCTGTTTATTCCTGCCCTTTTGCTCTCCGACTGTCCATATGTTTTTTGCAGAAATTTTGCCTAATTGAATACTTTTAAGACATTCTTTTCTTCTCGTTATACAGACCATGCTCAGGAGAAGAGCGTATTCACTTGCAAAAGGAATATAAAACTCACTTAATATATCTTAGAAAGCTTAAAGTGATCTATATACTGATTATCCGCCACATGAAAAATTTAATTCCGATGTAAATGTTCTCTTGGCTTCTTAGTGAATCCATCTTTTGGTCCCCATCCAGAAGTAATCTGTATCGCTTGTAAACATTTTTCAAATGTTAGTCCAAATTAACTTGCATTAAAACGGACTTCGACGTCATTTGTGGAGAATGTCTGTCTCTATAACGTTTACAATTATTTATCGAATCAGTCCTTTTTTTTTTTTTTTTTTTTTTTGAAGGAAATCTCTTAAGTGCTAGTTACCAAAGCTATTTGCTCACTACTGTAAAGAGCGAATGTTAAAAATTTGAACAAGAAATATTTTGTTCGTCGAAATCAAAGGTTTCGAAGGGGTTGTTCGAACTATCAGTATGACAGATAAACGCCAATGACTATCCGGGGGTGAAAGACAACATGAACACAATACCGTAAATAAAATATTCTATATTAGTTAGCCTAGATGAGTTTAACAATTTACATCGACTTAGTTAGGCCTTCTGAACGTATAAAAGGAATACGATTTTGCGCTTCTGAGAGCTTCGTACGGCTTTGAATTTGAATTTGAAAAACAAGTGTACAATTTTTCTTAGGTGATTTCTTGCGTAATGAGTAAAGGACCGAAAAAATAAAGTACTAGAAAAAAGGTAATATAATAAGAGATATTTATGAGTTTACAAATAGCAGAATAGATACGACATCCTATCCTATCCGAAAAACGATTAACTTTCGCCATAAATATACGACGCGTTTACAAGTTATGAGTAGAGAAGTAAAATTTCATCTCGTACACCAGATATGATTACATTTGTTTTTCGTAAAGACTTGTCGCAATAGGTGTGCTTGAAAGTTGTGGCCGATGGAAGCTCGACAGCTCCCTATTTGATCTTTTGACTATTTTGCCGCGCCTTAGAACTATTTAGCCTAAATTTTGATCACTATTGAAATCGTTTGACGACAAAATCATCGGTCGACTGATCATCGGTAAAGTTGTTAAAAAATTATATAGCATGGTATTACTGTAGTGGTGGGATTACAATATCAAAAAGTTGAGCATGAAGAAGTATGATCTTGGAGGATGACTAAGTACGTCTTGTGCATTTCTTCTAACATAGATCGCCTTTTATATCCATTTTGCGCTTTTAGTTTAGTCTTACCATGGGGTAGCGTTTGTTTGTATGCAATGTAAGTCTCAATCATGATTATTGAGAAAATGCTAAGATATAATTATTAAGGAAACTGGAATAAGTACGTAAAACGTTACCAGTTGTGGTCCTGAACAACTGAACGGTTGGGCGACTGATTTATTTTTAAAGTTCGAAAATGAGCTTCACCTGGCATGCACACATATGAAAAGTATCTTTGAAAGCGGGGGTAATATCTGTACGGCGGTAGCGTTGGACCATGACTGTATTAAATACTGAATATGACACTGTTCAAAAGAGCGACAACACTTGGCTCGGTTCGGGAATATTTTATTAATAATTTTACCCGGCATATTTATTTATTTTTTACATGCATGTGTTGGAGTGTGAATATATATGAAATTATATATATATATATATATATATATATATATATATATATAAATGTATACTCGTATGTGTACGTTTTTAATTTATACTCCAACATCTCCGTACACACACAGCGTTTTATATCCAATTGTCCGTTCATTTAAGTATACTACAACTGTCTTTGATTATAAGTTGCGGACTGACTGCCTGGCTGGCATTTGTATAAAACTCAAATATTGACAGATGAAGTTTATTCTTTGTGTGCTGGGCATACACACATGCACACAAACACACTCATAAAAAAAAGATATACGCACACGCATTGCATATATGAATAAATGTACATACGTATATACGTACGTACGTACGTTCGGATGCAACAACACTCATTTGAACGATTTAAATGTAAAGAATCAATTTATATTTCTCTTTTTATATATATTTTAAATGCAGATAAAAAGAGATAAGTGTCAGGTCGCTCGGCCGACAGACAGACCGAGTATTTGTGTGAATGTTCTGGCGAAGGGGATTTATTCACCACATGCCTTTTAGGGTTTGATTAATTGCATTTTTATATTGCTGCGTTATATTCTTATTCTTAAAAATTATAAAAATATGTGCATACATATGTTTGCGTATAGATAGATATATGTATATATATATATATATATATATATATATATACGTATGTACGTATGTATGTATGTATGTATGTATGCGTACTTGTACAATGTCTTTTTATTGTACGTATGCACTTACAAAGTTCTTATTCTTAGCCTTTTGAAGTTCAACGAACGGATTAACATTTTGTCTGTGTCATGATCACGATCATGATCACAATCATTTATGAGATATTATTTTGACGATTTATTGCAATAGTTCGAATAAGTAGTGAAATCTGAAATGAAATTTAGCAACGGAACGGGAACGAACGCTTGCTTATAAGTGTTAACTATCAATCGATATATGCGTACACGTATGTTGCTGCATGCGTAAATTTGTAGCGATGGAATTAAAACATTATCATAGCAGAGAGAAATATTTCCGTTTTACAGACGAGGATCTTTTTATGGAAAAAAAAAAAACTTTCATCGACATAAAAAATCAAATTTGTAAATATTTCAAAATTCGAATGATCCTAGATATTGAATAAATAATTTCGCACGCACGTGTATGTACTACATTCTATATATGAGTACTAATAATTCAATTAATTATCTATAGACGCTTGCTTCAGCAGTGCAAGAGAAAAATTATTATTGAAACATATAAATAACTAATAAGCGATAACTAATACGATATGGATGCATGATATATAATTTTACGTACGAAAATCGTGGTAGTCCCGACGTTTGGGAGCACGTGTTCAAATGGTTTTACGATCGAGTACAATGCATTCAAAGATATAGCAAAGCTTATCTAAAATCTGTGCTATGTGCGTCCCATGCGTAAAATGTAAACAACAGTCGTTGACAGTTGCAATTCTGCTTGCAACAAAATAAGACAGAAAGTAAAAAAATATATTTTTTCCTTTCGAGGTAGTCGTCGATCCAACATATTCTAAAGCTAAATTGAATTTATTGTACACCTTTGTTAAGCGCATCGACATAAAGATGTGAGTAATATGGCGTATGAGTGACATATGAACAAATTGAAAATTGATTATATGTGAGTACGTGGATGATGACCGTTTGAGCCGGTTTCAGCGCCCACCGCCTTAAGTAATATTATAAATAAATACATTTTTGTCCGCTTGTTAGAAACCGATAACATTAGTCTAAGCTATCGACGTTTAAACTAAACAAACTTAATTTAGCAGATCTATTTTGGTCCTTTGTTTATACCCTGAGCAAATTCGGGACCGAGTTACGTCGAATGTTGTAATATATATTTGAACAAGAACTTCTTCTTCTGTTGAGTTATTTTGTGCTGATAGATAGTCGGATATCGTACATTGTCGATTATCTTATAAAACCGTTTTCTTCTCCTCCTTCAGTTCTTGTTCATTAATTTATAAATTGCAAAAGCAAAATAGGAAGACAACGTGATATTTTTCTATCTCATTAATATCTGAATAACAAATAAATACTACTTACCCGCTCTTCTTCACGTATCATTTCGGCTATTCCGGGTTTGATTTCTAAGTCATCTGCTATCGAGGATGGATGGTGCGTTGGGCCTGAGCCAATCGGCATTGCTGCGGAAGGAAGCGAGCCAATTCCCATCGCTGCTGCTGGGGTAAGATCAATGTGAGCAGCTGCAGCTGCAGCTGCCATCGCTGCTGCCTGCACTGAACCCATTGAAAATCGATGGTGGGACTCGCCCGAATTACTGGAGGTAATATTTGCTGGGGACGGTGTCAAGGGCCCACTTAAAACACTTGATGGTTGTGTAGAAGCGACAGATGAGGCAGGGGACGCTCGCTGTGAATGCTGACCGGAACTGTGATGTTGTTGTAGCTGTGATTGATGCTGTGATATTTGCAGGTGTGGGCTTGGCGTTAATAGTCCTGACGGCGTACGGGCTGGCGGAAGCAGACTTAGTGATGATGATGGAATTTCTATTTGAACATTAGATGCTAAACTAGATGACGTTAAATGTGTTGCGCTGTTAGTATTACTAGAGGTTATGGCTATGGGGGGAGTAATAAGTATGTGTTCTCTCTGCCGTTCTCGCTCTTGCTCTTGTTCTGCGCGCTCTGCAGCTATTAAACCACTGAGTGGACTCGACGGTGGGTTTAACAATGCATCGGCTGAAGGCCACCTGCGCTTTCTCACATTCCTACTCACGAGCGATCCATGAGGCAAAGGGGACAAACGAAGTTCTATACTCGAACTATTCGGATGATTTCCACTGCTGCTGCTATTAATATCCCAAGCCGACTTTTCCAAACGGAGTTTCTTGTTCGGCTCCGTGAAGGATAAAAAACTCTGTACTTGGTCAGCTCGTCCACTGTCGGGACTTTGATAAAGGCTCTGTTCCCTGCTTGTAATAGGCGATAAATGTTGGGGAATTTTTGGTGATACCAAATTTTGCGGCGAAGGATCGTGTTTCTCGAGTAATTCATTTGGACGTGCATCGGAGGTAGAACTCTCTATATTTCCTACATCAGCCAATCCTCGTACCTTTAACATTTCCGCTATTCTTAGTAGTGGGCCAATTTGTTCCTGACTTACATTTATTTCACCCTTGTACATAAAATCTACAATGGCCTTTAGTTCGCACCATCCAACATCTCGCATAATAACAATTGGATGCTGACATGGTGTGTCGAAGAATAGATTTTGAAAGTATGGAGAGCATGCAGACAGGACCATTTTATGAGCTTTTATTGAATGTCCATCACAAGCGAGCGTTACATCTACAAACGATTCTGTCTGCAATAGCTGGTCAAACACACTCGTTAGATTGCTCTGATAATTGTTCCAACGTAAGCAAAACTGCTGCGGAGCACTGGCTGAAGCAGAACCACTCGAAGATTGTTCCGAATGCGGTGAAGACGATGGTACCTCACATACTGGACTAGATGAATGAGGAGTGGGGACATGTGAAGGGGTCTCAGAGACTGAACTGACTTCAACTATATGCTCATTTCTTGATCTTAGCGAGTTGCTTTCGAGCTTCGTTACATGTGTTATGGGAGGGCTGGGTGAGTTTGAATCCAATGATGCCAAAATACCTGGTATCACGGACGACGGTCGCGAGGGTTGCTTATTATCGGTGGTAGTATCCATTAAATTACTTATAGATGGTGATTTTCCTTTTTTCCCAGTCTCCGGAAGTGTTGGTAAAGGAGTATTAGAAGACATTACTGGGTGATATAATTTTACTATTGTTATTATTATTATTATTATTATTACTATTATTATTATTATTATTATTATTATTATTATTATTGGTTTGGTTTTGTTGGGTATTTAGTATAATTTTTTAACACAATCACATTTTTTGATTTTGTTTTGTATTTTATTTTTTTTTGTCGGATAAGTTCTGATTCGATATCCATTTAATTAAGCGAGGGACACATAACAATATTATTTACACATACAACCGCGAATCAACGCGCAAGTATACGCACACAAACGCGAGCGTATACACACACGTACACGCATTGAAACATCCACACTGAACAACAGCTGGAAAAGCTCAAACGATTAAAAATTTGTTAACACGCGCGTACTCGTCAAAAAATAGCGGGTCGTTTACGACACGAAAGTGTAAACCCTTTTTGTCTTCAGTTATTGCACTTATTACTGCTAACGTGTCAAAAATCCCAGCATAACTTTGTAATAGCATTTAGTTGTCTGGTTGTTTGTATAAGCTTGTGGATAGGTGTGTTTGTTGGTGAGTAGTAGTAAGTAGTAGGTCGACTGACGCATGCACATACATGTGTACATACGTACGTACATGTAACACAACATCCATTTGACAGTGGCAAGCAAAGTCGATGATTCAACTCATCTACTACAACAAACAGAAAACAAGTAAGACCATTGGAAACATACGACACCGTTGTTTCGGCAAAAATTTTCTCGATATTCTCGTTGAGTGTGTTGTTTCAGTTGTTTCAGCACCAAAGTCTTCTCAGCACGAACGTCTGATTTAGACTGAAAACGTTTCGCACATTTCGATACGGAAAACTGAAAACAAACTTGATATTTTTGCTGGGCTATATTGTGCTGTGTGTGCAATAAATTGAAGCACAAACATGTAGGTATGTATGCAAGCACAATTTGATGTGATATGCTACGGTTTGTACGATTATATTATGATGAATACAACGTGTAAGTTGGAGCCAAGACCGAGGATAACTTAGAGAAGGCGCTGATACGTATAGCTCACGCAGTCTTCGCCAACACCATATCTCCTACAACTACTGTCCGAACTTACACAGCGCCGTTTGTGTATATTGCAGACATGCACATTCACATCTCCACACATTTACGCATATATATAAAATGCACATATGTAGATGCGTGCATATGTATGTATGTATATACATAAATGCAAGACAAAGGTAAATATAAACAGTTCACGACAACTATTTGAGATTCACTGTGCACACTTTCTAAACTTCCGTACTGGGTGGCTGAGTTAACGCGGATGCGTCGTAAACGACGTTGCGATGGAGGCCGAGGCCTCTAAGTAAAATTCAGTCAACAAGATTTGCGAAACACAGCATTACATACATGTACATACAATAACGGGCGCAGGCATAGAAACACACACACAAAGTTCCACATGTGCGATGGGAATAGTCTCTTGTTTTTCTTTATGACGCCGCAAACGAAGTTGACAGTGTGTGCGAGTTCGCGTCGTACACTATTGCTCACCTTACGAACACGAATAGGTTCCCGCTTTAAGTGAAATATTCGCACAAACAGAAAAATAAAATATATCGATATAATGCAACGTTAAAAACTTTGGCGCAAGGAAATGTTCGACATACAGAAAAGTGTAATTGTGTCCCTATGCATACACATACAATATGCTATTGCACAATGCAGTGTATGCGTATGTATTTGTTTACATTCGTACACATTTATATGAGCGCCTTGCATTGCCATTGCTGTTCTCTAAGAATGTCAAAGAATTACAAGCAAATAACTAAGAGCACCTATTCGCAGTAGCAATTGCTTAATAATGGTTGCACGACGGATTTTAGCGACGACGCGGAGCGAGCCAGAGATTTGTCTATTTAGTATCTGTGTATGGAGGAATAATGTAGAAATTAACGTTCCTTAAACATTTTTAAATGCCATATGAATCATATACCACCCAACAAGTGACTTTCCAAAAACTACTCGCTCTCTACCCAATTGTCTCTCTTTCAACTCTCTAGCTTCGCTTCTCTACTGTTCTTTTATTCATTTTGTCTCTTTGCGAGAAAGAAAATGAAAATTTTTGAACACTGCTTACTAATTAATTCGCTTCAATCTTCTACATTATCTATTTAACAGAAATTCTCTATATAAACAACCGGTCACTACGCTCATCAAACAAAAAAGCAACAAAAAAGGGAAAAACCCAATAATAAATGCTAGAAATAATTATAATTACTTGTTTAGGTTACTTTATTCTTTCTCCTCTCTTCCTTAACCTCATTCACGGCCTTTCTTTCTCTCACTCTCACTCTCACTCTTTCTCTTTCTCTCTCTCTCTTATAAGTTGCTTACATCACAATCTTTCTGAGTTACTCGTTTATATATCTATTTTGATTAATTAGTTTCTAATTATAAATTATATTCGCGCGCGCGTGTACTATGCACACACAAACGCCTGTACAAAATTTATTCAGAAATTATACAATTTCATGATGATATCGTTCCAAATACCTACATACACACACATATATATATATATATATATATATATATATAAGTTATTCTGCTGCAAAGCATTGCTCTCTTGTGGTCTAAGTTCAATTCATTATTGTTCTCAGCAGAAGAACGTAAACAAATCAAGAATGGAACGGAACGAATTAAAAGAGAAGACAAACAGTAACTGGCCTTATGACAAATTCGCCGTTTATCTTTCATGTTCTGTTGTTCGAGTATAAAGATGCAGGTGCTCTTATCTTAAAACATTGCTAACAGTACTTATAAAAATACGGTTCGATTTCTCTTAGAAATATGTGCCTTTTTCTTTTTTTTCTTTTTTGTACATGTTATTTGGGTTATACTTCTTTTCTCCAAAAATTTTGTTGCCGTTCAATGTTTTTCTTCTCGCGATCTAATGCGTACGTACGTACACTACTTGCTTAATAGTAGGCAGTTGCCTTTTTTATGCTTCACAATTTTTCACCGCCTTTAAGTAAGTCCGGCCCCTACTGCATTTAAGCCTAGAAATAACTATATCAACAGAGACCACTTGTACATCAATGCTTGCATGTTAGCAGCCATCTGGTCTCATGGTTATGTAAATTTTTTTGTAGCCTGTTAGTTTTTGTTCTCACAGGTACTCATACTCTTCTCGCCCATTTACACACATATGTTTATATCTTAATACGTAGCATGCTCGTGTGTGTGTGCGTTCAGTGCGGGGGTATGTACAACTTTATATATACGTATTAGAGAAATAATATATTTTATTCTATTAAAATATAAAAGGAGTAAGTGAGAGCGACTATGTGCACAAAGTTTCATTTTTACCCATATTCTAGTGTAATGCATACCGAATCCACATATCACATATATATATATATATATATGTATATATATATATTAATATATTTATATATATATATATATAAGTATCAATATGTATATATATATGTATAATATATATATATATATATACATATATTGGTATAATGTTTACATATATGTACTATTATGCATACATTAATGTGTACGTAGGAATATATTTACTGCCTTAGCTATGTAAATATGTAAGACCTTTTTTCTTGTTGTGCTTTCGTTGGCTTACACACAAAATATAGACCATTTATGTATATAAAGTATACAATACAATAGAGTACATTATGTATTAAATATTATCACTCATTGGCCATCTTTGGAACAGTTCGCAAAAGCATTCTATTAGGCTCAAGCGTATAAATATATATATATATATATAT